AATGACCTAACTAAAATATTAGGTTTTTTGAATAATTAGACTAAAAGACAAGAGTCATAACAGAGTCATATAAGCGTAATATAGAGTCAACAAAAGAGCCATAATAAGACACGGGATAAAAGAGTCATAATAGCGTATTATAGCCGAAAGCTTGATTTATATTTTACGTTTTTTAAACTGTAAATAAAGATTTTTACCAGTGCAACACACTACCACTACAATAATGATTATGTTTTGTTATGTCAATTATTTGGGAGTACAGTTTAAAAAGTAACACCTTCTAATGTTATTGCGTACATATTAGTGAGGCGGATATGTGTAAAATTATTGATCAGTAGTTCCCGTTGGGGTTAGAAGCACCAAACTTTTACAATTGATGTAGTTTTATTTGCTTAATAGATATTTGAAGTGGGGCCATCGCTATTTTGCTGCTAACTCCTGAATTATAGCCAAATGTGAAATTTTGTATTCAATTACAACAAATATGACTTGCATCATCAGAAAGCTTATAAAAAATTGCATAAAAGACGTTTAGACAGTTTTTTGATTTCTGAAATAGTTTTCGAATTATAAACTGTTAAAAACGCATTTTCAAACATCGAATAATTAATTAATTAGGGACTTTTAGCGAGATAATGTGCCTAATTTACAGCAATAACCATTTGAAGAATAAAAAAACTGTTTAAAAGTCTTTTATGTAGTTTTTTACAAGCTCTCTGATGATGCAAGTTATATTTGTCGCGATTGAATTCAAAATTTCACATTTTTTGTTGCAGTAGAATTTAATAGCAAATAATGCTAATAGCATCGTAACTCTCTAAAAAACAGTTTCACGATGGCCCCACTTTTGCATGTCGTTCTACTCATAAAAAGATGCTACTGTGCACAATTTGGTGCTTTTAACCCTCTTCGGAAACATCCATGCACATATCCGCCACACTATATAGCTACACATTTCGTTTCGCGTAGAATATTGACAATTCGTTGGTACACTTTTGTGAAATAACAAAAGCTTTTGCTTATGGGTATCAATCATTGGTTTTAACACAACAAGTCGAAGAGATACCTATAGTATCTATCAATGGATTATCTGGCAACAGGATTACATTTAAAGAAATAAACGACGAAGTTATTCAACTAACCATGGAGGTAATTGGACGATAATGTAACACAATAACACAAATTACCAACTTTAACAGTTCGAACAGTTCAAATGCGTAT